CGAACACGTCAGGTTAACCGACTCACCAGCGACTGCTGCTGTTCGATCGGCCATATAAGCTCTGAAATAGGGTTTCATAAATTTAAATTAAGTTCTCTGAACAGTGAGTTTAACCAGAAGAACGTGCTGACTCAAAGTATTCATTCTAAGACATAGTGTATTGGAAACGGGGAAGGTTGCAAACGGGAAGAGGCAGTCGGGGACTTGTCGGACACGATGACCCAGAAATTGCCGGTTCTTCGCAACATACTAATATGAGATGTGTATCACTCAAGAGAAGTCAGTCGGCAAAGTGCATTGCTTCAGCATAACTTTAGCATTTGGAAAGCGAGATAGATGAATGGTTCTTTGAGATATTTCATCAACAGCATTATTCTGAATTAAATAACGTATGAATGAGGATCAACCTTGGTCCGCCAGCTTGAACACTTGACGTTGCGGTTGGTGCAATCCGAAGAAATTCGTATGATTTATCGTCCTCACCTTTCACCCGCACAAAAAATAGGCCTTTCGGTGGCACAAATGGACCCATAAAATAAAGGTACGGATTTCGTTTATTGATCGTTGCAGGCTTCGAAAATAACTCTTTGCCGAAGTAATCAACGAGCGAAATTTCAAAAACTGTTCCGGGTGGAGGCAACCCGGTCATATTCACCAGCAAGTAGCTCGTCTGATGGGATATTGGTCGTGGATGTGCCTGTAAATTTGAAATATTCCGTTGATTGAATTCGTGCAACGACATGTATAAACCGTTTGCCTGGGTACACTGCGCTAACAAAGAGTTTTACCAACCAAAATACGCCTAACAACATCTAACGAACGTTATGCGCAACCTTTGTCAAGAAATTTGCTCGGAATGGAAACGTGAACACATGAATTAATTGGTCGTGGAATTTCCTGATTTATTTCATGATGGCTTTTGATGGCGAATTCATTGTGACAAAAGTATTTCTTCTAGGTGAACTGAGTACAGTTGTGGCGTGCGGGAATAGAACATTGCGTGCTGCAATCAACACCAATTCCAGATGCCAACTTATTGATAATTTATAATGCTATCGAGCCATGGAACTCCAGTTCAATATTAAATCTAACAACGATGAGTATTAACTGACGAGTTCGATTCTGTCGATGGGTCGCGTTGAAAAGCCGTATTTGAAGTCGATTGCTCCATGACCGAGCACTCGTAGCACATGCTTGAGTCGACTTGACGTACGAACTCGCCAAATACCAGGCAGAGGATTTGTGATCCGGATCAACTTGATGTTGTTCAGATCAATTGTACCACTTTCGTTCGAAAAATGTGCTCTTTCAACCTTTGTACCTGAAATGCATCGTGCACTTACAATGGATTCATACTCCTTCTAATGAGCACGGCTGGAATGTTCGATATTGAACCNTCCACATATTATCTATCCTTCAAGTTGAACTGTACCTTTCGGATCAGTGAGACTTATATCCAAGAAATCTCCGTCATCCTTATCACCTGATAACGACAGTGTTAATTCGTTGAGGTGTTGATCGACAGGAATAAGACGCAAATTGGTTCCACCTCGCTCTCGCACTTCGTACATCAAATGCACCTATCAATCAAAAAATATGGGATAGGCGAAAAAAATTTCAATCAACAGTCTATGGCTGCAACAATAAAATGTTGTATATCTAAATGACACGCGCGAGTATCAAATGAAATCAAAAAAAAAACCAGGATAGTGATATGTATGGAACTTCTTACACTTGTCAAAAAGTGGACTGACCTTTTTGAGAGCAACTGAATGCCTTACGTAATTGAGCACTTTCTTCACATCCGTTTTTTCCAGATGAAAAACTTGTCCAAAACTTGCGGCTGCAATTTTCTCATAGGTTCGAAATCCGGGATGCGTCCGATCGTTACAATCGCCAGTCATCACGAAAACAACCTTCAATGAAA